CAGTGGCGGACAAAGCAACTACGTCGGAGAAACTGGAAGATTTCTCCGGACGCGAATTGCCGAGCACGCAACGGCAGTGAGGCGTGGAGACGCTAGCTCTCAGGTGGCCGGCTCATTCCACAAGATCCGGCCATATTTTCAAGTTTCAAGAGAGAAATCCTCGCAAGAGCTGAAAACCGCGTGAACCGCGAGCTGCTCGAGCCATGCTTTTCAGACCCGCAGTCCACCAACAAGCGCAGTGATCTTACGTTACCGCATTCCGTGCTGAGATTTTCCCTGGGCAGGGGAATCAGTCACGTGGGGAGGGCTCGGGCGAGTAATTATCCCAGTAACAGTGTGCCAATTTGTCGAGCGATCGTCACACCAGCATCCAACACGGATGACAAAATCGCTGCGATTAGCGACTCGGACGCGGACTGACAAGCCACCATCGCATCAATTACGACCGCCGCGGTGATCGTGAGAGCTATTAATTACAGTGCGCATATGGTCCCACGGCAGCCACGCGCTATAAATACCGCACTCATTGTGCCACCATTATCATTATCTGCAAATTTCTCTGATGATGGGTTCGAGTGAGAATCTGAAACGTCAGGCCAATAAATTTCTTGTCCCAGCGATCGCATCTTCGCCTTCTCACCTTACACTGTCTAGTCCTAACGCATTTTATTGCGCTGGACTGTTCGTGAGGAATCGAAAACTGGCGTTGGCCGATGTTTATCTCGTGAATACTTACGTGGGTATTACCGTAGAAATAATATGCAGTATGTGAGCTAACTCAAATGACGTGGTGACGGAATATGCTCTGCGATTTTTCGAACGCCTGAACGTTGCGCATTTGCTCACTTGTCCAGCCCCTTCAAGTAAATGTTCCTTTCTTGTGCAGAAAATGTGTCTGTGCTCGACTTGGATTGTGCATCTGAAGGTGTTTTCTTTGACAGGAGGGTAATTTACTCTCGGGAGTTTTATTTAAAAATCTTGCCGCATCCATGTATATTTATTCATTCACCTGCTCTTGTGCAGTGGGCTATATCGACCGTACAACGAGGCGTCTGGAAAAGAGAATACGCAAACACATGCCTGCCTGGCTAGGTAGAGGTGAAAATCGATCGATTTAGAGTTCAATTCTCGCACAGCTAATCGATACGAACCACCAAGCCGACGCTAAAGAAGCCTTTACAGTTCTCTACCGTGCACCGGTACACCACTCTAAAGGCCTGCGCAAACGGGTGCCAGCCACAGCCGAAGCAGTGGCCATTCGACTAGCGAACCCAGCACTTTACTGTCAGAAGACGCTGACACAAGCAGTCTGTCTGACCTGGCCGACTCCAGACGGTGACCGCACGCCGTCCCGACGCAGTCACACGCACTCACAGCGCTTACAATCTAACCGGAACCCCTCTCCTCCCCCCTCCCACCCCAACTTCACTGTCCTCAGCACGCTGACTCCGTCGCGCGGGCGGCGTGGGGACATGGCGTCCGATTAATCATGGTCAAGTGTCTGTTGTGAACCAGGGGGTGTGATGGTACGTCTAGATGCGGGTCCGGCCGTGCCAACCACCTGCGCTTTCTCCCGCCTCCGGTCTTCTTAACTGTGTCTTGACGCCAAGCTCAGGCGGGGGAGGAGGAAAGAGTGCGGCAGACGCTGTACAAGTCTACTACCGCTATAAAATAATTTACGTACAAGTCACCGTGCCTATTCTCAGCCTGCTGTAGGGCACACAGTGAACATCGTCGGCAACGATGGTCGAATTGTCATGGGACCTGTACCAGAGGTACGCAAGTACAAATTCTTCCAACTCAACAACGATTCTTGCCTCACGTTGGTGCAGTCGCGTTACGTAACTATTACAATGGACGTGACTCCATTGTCAGTTCTTTAAAGGGGCGTCTGGGCTACTTCAAGATACGTCAACTGAACTTCTGAAATGTGTTTTGGATTCGGAAAGATTACTCAGGTAGAGTTGTGAGATTGCTAATTGTGCACAATGTTCTTAAGATATCTCGATTCTTTTAAACAAGCTTTTTTCCTGTCGCCTGCAAAAATTACACCTTGCAGTAGTGACTACTTAAGTGGTATGAAGTCTGCCGACTGATTTTTGATAAGCTTATAAATTTAAACATACTCTTCGGAAGACGTGCGCAAAATATATTTTTGTGTTCATTTTGTAGCAACTTAAGTTTTTTTAAGTTGTCTGCTTAAACCAAGGCTGTATTTAGACTTTAAAAGTCTCCGCCATTGCGATTTTTCAAGATGTGAAGTGTCGATTCATGAAGATTCACGTCATATCCATTGCAAAATTTTGAACCTTGTATGACATCTTCTCCATCAGATGACAACGAAATCAAATATTCTCATGCATGTTTTCCATTAAAAAATATGAATTTATAAGTGCACCTACCATCGATCGGGAAAATTCATACCGTTTAAGTAGTTATCTTAACGCAGTTTAGTTTTTGCTGGTCGCCGGAAGGAAGTTCGATAAAAAGCCGGTGTCCTGGCATGACTGAAGTATCCTGGAATTATACTGCATGATAATTGATGTCACAAACCTAATTAAACAATTCTTTTCGAATCGAGAACGCATTTTCGATTAATATTTCATGAGATAGCACAACTGCCGCTTGTATCACCGTCGAACTGTTAATGAGTTTGTGCCAATAACAAAATTTCAAAAATAGTTTCTTTAAGAGCATTCAAAGGAACAAGAAAGTGGGCATATTTTTACTGTGAAAAATAATCGAGTTATCGTCGAAATTCTTCCATCCTTATTTATTGCGTCTATTTGCCCGGTTATCCTTTGCCTTTACCCTGCTCTAAGCTTCCTTACTTCTGGCAGGCACACGGTACGAAGTCGACCTTGGAGTCGAGCTTGGGCAGCACATATCTCACAGTGAGCGCCATGAGAGGAGTCGTTCCGGGAGGCTGCGTGGGACAGCTTACAGCCGAAATCATGTCGATATGCGTGTAGGGAATCGGCTGCTTAGAGTTGATTCCATGCTGAAGAAGAGAGAATAAGGTCACATGGTCAACCTCTATGTCATATAAGGAATGATAGGTCAGAGAGAGAGAGGGAACAGATAGGGATTATTTACTGAAAAGTCAATTGGCAAACATATATCCACAGTAGTTCATCATGAGGCCACTATAATTGCTTGAACAGTGAAGGTGTGAGCCCCGGGATAGGGGGGATTAGTTATGCCCCTCGTTTCGACGCCGCCCGCAGGACGAAGTCGGCGTGTTGTGGTTGATGGGACTGGGGCCAGTGCCAGAGCGATGCCTAAATGTGAAGCCCGCGGGACGGGGGGGGGCAGAGTTGGGTCAGCGTGCTATCGCCACTTGGAGTCGGCCAGGGAAAACAGACAGGGTCAGATGTGGTTATGTAGCCCCGCATGAAGTAAACAAACCCCAGCCACCTGTTATATGGGACCGGCGGTAATAGCGGTTTTACAGGTGGGGCGGGGAACGCACAAGCAACAAAGTCAAGTAATTACATGCAAGTAAAGAAACCCCCTCCTGATGAACACTTCTTCGATCGGATGTGGTTATGTAGCCCCGCCTGAAGTAAACAAACCCCAGCCACCTGTAATACGGGACCGGTGGTAATGGGGGTTTTTACACGTGGGACGGGGAACGCACAGGCGACGAGGACAACTAGTCGTATGAAAAAGACAGGCTATTGGGCATGCGCGGTTGTACTTTGAAAGGTTGAGAAAAGTTGTCTTAATCCCAACACTAACCTCTAACTCTAGCCTTCAACCTTAACTCCTAACCCTAATACCTGGCCCTAACCCCTAGTCCCAACCCTAGCATTATTGTGTCCATCAGATGGAACTACAGAAACAAATCTAACCCTCAATCCTTGCCCATAACCCCTTATCACAACCCCTCACCCCAACCCCTAACGCCAACTCCTAACCCCAACCCCTAACCATAACCCCAACCCGGAACTCGAACTCCTAATCTTAACTCCTAACTGATATCCGACCGATGTTTGAACACCCTCTTTTTCAGACGCCTCCCTGTACGGCCAGTCTATTCTGCCCACAGGAGACGATGAATGATAAATGCACATCAATGATAGACGGTCTTTACTTCTCAACCGGAAGAAGCGAGAGTTTGTGAAGAATACGCGTTAGTTCGCCGCGGAGAAAACGTTCGTGATAGCTGTCTTTATACTTCGCCTTACTAAATCGCTTGCTGAGTCCCCTAGAAAAGGCAGTCTTAGAAATAGCCCATTCTTTTCTGCAGTTACTGTGATAGGCTTTTTAACTCGTTCCGCAGTATTCAGGAAGATAAATCTCTCTGGATAGTCGTTTTTGCGGAGCGCGTTCTACGGCTGCTGCAGCTCTGCTTCAACAGGTTCAGGGGAGCAGATGCGTTGCACTCTAGCCCCCAATCACTGAGATTCAGGGAAACAAAATTGCGAAACATATATATCATGAAAAATTTCGGCTAGATCGCAGTTGGTAGCCAGGACCCGTATTACAGGTGGCGGGGGGGTTTGTTTACTGGGGCTATTTTGTGAGACCCCATAATCACATCTGACCCATTTGGCTTCCGTTTTACGTTTGAGGTTAGGATTAGGGTACCAGTTAATGGTTTCGGATTTTCGGGTTAGGGTTATGCCTTTAGGCTTAGGTTTTCAGGTTACGGTTAGGGTTTGAGAGGACGATTAGGTTTCATTATTACGGTTAGGTTTTCCAGTTACGGCTATGTCTAAGGGCTGCAGCTACGTTAACGATTTCGGTTAGAGTTAGGGTTGCCGTTAGGGTTAACGGTTAACGTTTAAGGTTGGGGTTAGGGTTAGGGCTAAGGTTAGGATCAGGCTTAAGGTCGCCGTCCGCTTCCCTAGTCCTGGCTACCAACTGCGATCTAGCCCAAATTTCAAATAATTAACTGGTAGCTCAGGTGGCTAGAGCGTTGGCTGTACTAAAGCCCCGCCTTGCTGTCGTGATTTCGAATCCCACTGAGGCATGGAGTTTTTCAGAGCTGGGCGATAGTGAAAGTGAAAAGTTATGAAAATTAATGTGTTTTGATAATATTTTCCGCGGTCAACTCCTCCAGGCGGTTATCGCACGTCCCCCCCCACCAGTTCGACCGTCGCAGCCGACGATGCGCGAGGGTCACGTGCACTCCGCGTGTTTGACATGGGGACACCGCTCGCATCCTACCCTCACCCTCCCTCCCCCAGCGCCGACGACGACATATCGCCGGCATCATCACTCGGGCTGTGTTGGAACGAGTATGACTAATCTCTCCCCCCGCCCCCGAGACTCCTCCTCCTCCCCCCTGCCCCCCATCCCTCCCCTGACTATGGCTCACAAATTCACTCTCCATGCAATCGCGGTGACCTGATGACGAATTGACGAATACAGGTTTGAGAATTGACTTTTGAAGCGTAAGATGGGGATATTCGCAGAACTTGGATGTCCAGGAAAATAAGCCTTTGATTGCCTAAATCAAGCGAATTCTGAATAACAATGTTGAAGTACCGTGCTCGGGTTGTTCATCGAAAATTCTTAAAAACTGGAGAGAAAGTGTAAGACAGACTGCAGTTAACGACTTGTGAAACTGAGAAAACCAACCGGACCAAGACATGGTAGAGCATCCTGTCGGTAAAAGAACAGTCCAGCACAGTAGGCTTTTCTGACCACCCAAGTGCTGTAAATTTATTTCACCAACTAATCATTGACCGACCTGCAATTCTAAAATCGAGCCCAAATCGATCGTCAAGTTGACTCCCCTGCGGCTTATGGGGCTTTACGTTCCCGCTAGGTGAGAACTCAAGTAGCTAAGCGAAGCATACGGACGACAAACACGACACAACAGGTGAACTGGCAGCCTACTCGAAAAGCAGTGTGACGCGTCTCATTTACAAGACTGATAATGCGGGCGTTATAATGGATTTTGCAAACTCTGTTAATGGACGGTGGCAGTTTCATTTTGCAGACTGCAACACCCAATAAGCGGATTGCGACCAAAGTTGCGTCACCTTCCAGATCTCCCAGTCTCGTATTATTCCAAACGCACAAAATTACACCTGATCGTGTCTGAATCGCGGTGAGTCAGAATAAATACGAAAAATTCCTGAACAATGGGCCAGTCGCTTTCAGCGCTAAGGTTGCGAAACTCCCAGGCGCGGCATGCTTCAGAACTCTGATATACAAACGTGAATGACGCACCACCATCATCATGCACTCGCAATCCAGTGCGGCCACTGAAAGTAGAATGGACAGTATTGAAGGGTATTTCAGTATGTTGAAGGACCTTGCAGGCGGAGTAATAGTTTTGTAAGAACAGTTGGACTACGATTTCGACAAACAGGAAATGCAGCATCCAAAGACTGCATTTGTCTATGCCATTTGGTTTACCCTATTCTTAGACGTGCCAAACAACCCCTACAGTAGGTGGGCTAACTCATGAAATGTCAACTGAAATTCCGAAATGCGTCTTCGTTTCTAAAAGTAGGGTTGTTAAACTAATCAGCATGCAGCATAATCTCATAACACTCCAGTTACCTCGAGATGTCGGCTTTCGAGCAAATTCCTATTCGGCTGCATGCGGGAACCTGCACTCAGTGTTAATGCAAATAAATGAAATACCTCACGCATTGCTATCTTATTTAAGATCGCCATAAAACAATGTTACTGTAATTTTTCTCAATTCACACTGCAAAAATATGTCTAAATTCCGTCAACAATCGGAGAGCATATAATACTTTGTAGACGGCGACAAATTTAACTCAAACAAGCGTTTCTATTATTATCAATAAAAATGAAATAGGCTGTGTTTGATGCTTGTTTTGACCGTAACAACCGAAAACCATTTAGCCACTGCATTCAGTACGCTGTGGTAAGCGAATGGGTGAGATGAAAACAACAAAACCTAGTTTAGATCGAATTGTGTGGCAGTCTCTTTGAATTTGGTCCCATTTACACAATATTATTACTCGCCCTTGTTGTAGAAGTAATTTAGAGGACTTCAAGGTCATTCACAGAACCGCGCGTCTTGAGAACCACGTACACGTTGCAGGAAGCAATTCACAAACCCGTCGCTGCATGCTACAGATGTATCTATATAACGCCACACCAACGACACTTTAACCGTCATAACCTTCGATGTCAACCATATGCTCCACAACAAGTTGAGACCGAGGAAGGTGACTTGCACGCGTTTCAGTTTAAAGTAGTAGCGTACTTGCGTTGCACCTACCTCGATCCTAGAAACAGTGCCAAGACAAAGTCAAGGAGATTGGTGGCGGGAGAGGTCGCAGGCGGCTGGCACGGCATAAACCCGCATCTAGGTCTACCATCATACTCCTGATCCACAGCGTATACTGATCAGGATCTTATACTACAACCAAAGCAGGGGTATGTCAGGGATCCCAACTGCCGTGGACTGAGCCGGCCCCAGCGTGCGTATTGTTTGTGGGTGCACAATTCCGATAACGCTTGCCGGATTTCGTACCAGTCCCTGTATTGATCTAGTGGTAAGAATGCGCAACCCCACACGCCCAAACATCGACCCACGTCGCAACGGCTGCTGTAATTTGGCCCTTTCACATCCATTAGACATTTCGTCGTAGAATCGAGACTTCCCACTCGACGTGATAGAGCAAAACGTGTACAGCGGGGAGGCGGATGACAACTCACTTCGTCCAATCCACTGGCTCGGATGAGGTAGGCTGCCGGATATTGGTGTCCTCGAGCACGATCAGAGGGGTTCAAGTGGAAAGACTGCATCAAGTCCTCGTACTCCGACTGGCCATTCGTGATGTCATAGTCCTCCCTCCTGATTGTCGATATCTGAATGACGGTGAATGGGAAGATGAGGGAAAAGTATGCTCACAATCTCCCTTGCCAATATGCAAAAAAGGCCTAATTCCTGGGGATAACGTAGACACGCACAAGTGATAGAACTAATAGTTCGTGCAGTAACCGAGGGACTGGTAATGCAAACCCATTTGAGATCGTTTCAGGAGTGGTTTGTTGATGAGCCCATAATCTGTCGTAGATTGTTACTCAAAGTCAACAGGGGAATTCCCCATATTCACGACGGTGCCACATTTGCCTACCAAAAAGTACGCTTGTTATTGTTAATACTAAGAGTGATTTAACGTAATAACTTCCCGTTTTTTGGTCTACAAAGACGGCTTCGTGAGTCTGCATGCAGCGAGCTCAGATAATCGATGCAACATCTTGTCAAATAACTATGTTTTCTAGCTTCTGCAATTCAAGGAGGTATTGTTAGACTGCTTTCACACCTCCATCGTACGAGTCGTACGGCTTTTCCACTCGTTAACCCTAAATTATGGCTGCAGCATGTGGACGACACGTTTGTTAAAATGGAATGCCTAGAAAATCTGAACAACACCATCAATCCAACAATTTCAGGAAGCAAGTTCTCATTAGGAAAGGAAGTCGACAGTAAACTCATATTCTTGCATGTTCTCATACAGCGAAAAACTGACGGAACATTACACACATCAGCTTACCGCAAAGGTACTTCTGAGGAAGTCGTTCGGCACTATGAGAGCAACAACATAGTTTCTCACCGTCAACAGCTTGCTACGCCGAGCAAAACACATTGCTCCGACGAAGAAAGTTACGGAATAGAACTAAATTATCGATTTGAATTATTTTCCAGGAATGGTTGTCTTAGTGGTTTCGTATGTCAACACATTTGAAAACAAGAGTCAAAAGAGAAGGACCTACACAGTTCCAAGCAGGCGCCCAAAGCAAATACTTTGAGAACTCTCCCTTACATTAAAATGTGTCAGAACTCGTCGAAAGACACCTGAGAAAACACCAAATACAAGTGGCGCACAGACCTACGACTACCTTGCGCAGTCAGCTTTACACCCTAAGGACAGGGTCGGTTATCTGCAGAAGAAGGAAGTCGTCCGCAAGATCCCATGCGAAGCATGCGATGCCGTATATTGTGGCCAAACTGGAAAGTCTGCCTCCACACACATCCATGAACATCAGTTAGCTGTTAAGAGGGGAGACCACTTATCTCAAACGGCCATGCACACACTAGATACTGGACATACTTTTACATGGGACAAGATTCGAATCGTCGACGCCCGCCTTATCAAAAAGACCGATAATTTCTGGAAGTCATGCATTCAGTCATGCATCACTTGACACATTGAATTAGACGCCATGTGCAAAAATCAAAGGGAAGAATGGAAGAGACAGGAACCAATCAATGCACAATAACGTACGCGTCGGGGGCATATTGGCAGAAACTCGGGGTGGCATTGATTTTTGGATAAGTTTGAAAGGTCAACTGTTTTTAGTACACTTGTTTAAGTCTGGCGACGACCCCAGGGACTGATGTCGAAAATTTGCTAATTAAGTTCGTACTTTTCCCAAAAAACCTACTATCTTCAAATAGTGTAAAATGCGTAACCTGACCAAAAACACAGAGAAACTTTCCAAGTTAATTTGAGAACAAAAATAGAGACCTGCACAAACCAGCTCAAGCCGGATCTCAACTCACTCATGTATAATAGGTGGGCTAACTCATGAAATGACAACCGAAATCCCGAAATGCGTTTCCGTTTCGAAAAGATTAATTAAGTAGAGTTGTGAAACTATTCAGCCAGCAACAGAATGATATAATATTTCAATCACTTTAGGATGCCGGCTTTCGAATGAACTTCTTTCGGCTACATGCAAAAACTATACTCTGTAAAAAATGACTACTTATGTAACACGAATTTTTCCCATTGCCTTCTAACGCCCTTAAAAATTCAATTATATTTCATGGAAAACATGCAGTCGGTAGGAATTCACGTCTTCTTCCAATTTTTCTACTCGAAGGAGGGACATAAATCGGTTTTAAAAAAGTTTCTTATTGTGGGACTTCTAAATACCGTGAAATGGCCGTTCATAAATTGTCATGTTTCCGCATTTACCAATGTGGCTTGTAATGTTAACAATATGACTCGAATCCACTGCTAAATTTTATGAACCTTACATGGCCTCCCTTTATTACGATAGAGAAATGCGTGGTTTTACGTAAGAGGAAAATATACGGCTCGTAGTTTGGAAACACGAAATCCAAGTGTAACGTTCGAGCGGGTTCAAAATTATTCAGGAATTGGAAAAGATTTTGAAAACTGAATTTTGCCCTTCCTTCAAGTATGAGATTGGAAGAAGACTTAGTTGTCTGCCAAATGAGCAGAAGAATTAATATTGTCATTCATTTTTCCATGAAATATAATTGGACTTTTAGGACCATCGAAAATAAACAAGAAAAATTCATGCTACTTAAGTAGTCATTTTTACAGATTGTAGTTTTTGCATGCAGTCGGAAAGAAATTCATTCGAAAGCCGGCATCCTGAGGTAACTTAATTATTGTAGAATTATGTTGCAGGATGACTAGTTTTACAGCCCTACTTAATTAATCTGTTCGAAATGAAAACGCATTTGGGAATTTCGGTTGACATTTTAATGAGTTAGCCCACCTAATGTGCTGGGGTTTGCAAGTTTACAAACCTTATGAACATGAAAGTCGATTGCTTTCACTGCTCAGCTGTCACGCATCAGGTACTTCCTCAGTGGGACGAATTTCTTAGAGGTCGCATATAAAATTATAGAGCAACTGTCGACAGACAGACCTCCATCATATCTGAAATCCGGTCACCGGCGTTCTGAAGCGCAGCTGCCGCATTCCTTCTTCGTGCGGGTCCATTGTCCATAACCGCCTAAAGAAAGGTTCACCAATAAAATAAATAGCTTCTTCATAATACTACTTTTTGCTGGATAACAAAAATTTCATAGTGACTGCACGGGGTCCTAAGAATTTATTTTCCGCGATCCTACTGCACCTGTCATAATGCAAATAATTTCTCATTCCATTGCGTACAGGCGGTTCCAACTAATCAATTTCTTCAGCAGCGCGAAACGACAACGGGCAGAGCAACGGGCTCGTGGCCCAGTGGTTAGAGGCGTGGACTTCTAACTAACAGGTCGCGAGTTCGAGCCCCAGGTGTTCCAAACTTCGGAGTTGGGTACGACAGGCTGAAGTGGCCATTCTAGTCCCCCTTGTCGTTGTCGGTAAAAACATACTGCCTAAAACAGGAATTGCAAGTTTCTGCTCCAAGTTTAACGAGCACCAGTAAGATCGTGAAATTCTTTTTCCAAGAAGCGGATAATGATTGCCGAATCGCTGAAATCAGCTGACTAAATGTGAAGGCAAAATATGTCAACAATCAACTGGACCATGTCCCAGTTAATTTGAAAAAGGTCTTTCCGATCTCATTTGGGTAATTTCCTCATGCTGTTCATTGGCCTGAATGCATTATTTTGATTCTATATACATATTTCCAATTTTTCAGTCAAAATGGCGCGGTAGGCAGGCCTCATGGCCACTGTTTACACCTCCGAATGTACTGAATAATTGCTTTTGTTTAAATAGGCTACTTGAAGTAAATTGTTCTGCTGCTGCTTTTGCGCACTTTACATCTGTTTATTGCGACTATCTGACAAACAGAATTGGGGCGGGTGGTTATAAGCGATAATCATTGTAGAATGTAGTCTAACGTAATATCGTTTTATTTAGGTGAGACTGAACTGGAGGGGATTAGTTTATCGAGCACCCTGTTACAGCCTCAAAATTTATCGGGTCAAACCAATATGGCGCAGGCAGAGATTTTTCTAGTAGGGACGTGCTGGGCATATGATCCATGGGGTTCCGTGTATGGACGTTGGTTAATTGCGGCGGTAATGACCAATAAAAAGACATTTGGTAGAAGTCGCAGCCGTTGGCGGGATGTCGCTCTTGGAAGATAGCTAAAATTTTGCTATTCACAGCAGACAAAATTGTTTTTGACATTCATAATAGGAGGCGTCGGTGAATAAAACACTAATGCACGCATAAAAAATATGCGAGCGCATAAAATCCCCAGAGGTCTCCAAATTATGCTATTTTCTTAAAAAACAAAATAACCGATCCAGCGTAATTCCACTTGAGGGCTTATTGTTAGTCTTCTCCAACAGTGAAAAGCGCAGCAACCTATTGTGGCACGAAATTTACGGTGGATTAATTTTTGATGGAATCGATCAAAAGACGATGGTTATTCCTATTGGTCGTAGGTGCTCTTCCATATTGAAGGTAGCCGCAACTTAAATTACCAAATATGCAGTAGACATCAATGCGTAAATTGCCAAAAGACAACTCACCATAAATTTCCACAGAAAGAATATTCTAAAATTTCAATTATTTTTGATGAATTTTATCGAATACGAAATTCTAGGAGTTTACGTTTAAAAAGGGAATTTTTTTTCCGTTGTACCTACCCATACCATCATTTAATATTCTAATTCGGAATCTGCCTTAATCATTTTTTCAACAAAAGTTTTGTGTCTAAGTTCCACTGAAGATGTCCGAGGATACAGTGGCCTAGTTTAACCTTCTTCAACCTGAGCAGTCTTAGTGAACTCACGGAGTACTTCAAGTAGGTTGCCCTTGCATGTCCAGTTAGCGTGGCGATGGAGAAAATGTGAGGATTGTGTTCTTTGAGGGCCTAAAATTGCCAAAAATATGCGGATCAGGATCCTTTAAGCGTGAGATGCTTGGCAGGCTCGACACTTACGAGTGCGTGAACGATCTCAAGAAATGTTGGCTGAAATTCTGAAATGCGTTTTGGATTAGGTAAAATTAATAACATGGCGTTGTAACATTAATCATCTTGTGGCATAATATTATAATATTTTAGACTCAACAAGATGTCCGCTTTTGAAGGCACCTCTTCCCGACGACGACGCTCGATAGAAAATGACTACTCATTCAGCATGCATTTTTCGCAATGACTGTGGATGACCTTATAAATTCAAATACATTTATAGAAGACGTGCACAGCAATATGCATTATTTTACTCGTTTGGTAGAAAATCACATTGAGTTCCCATTTCACACCCTAAAGGAGGTTATCTTTTGGTTTAAAATAAGTTTTTAATTATGAGGTTTTTAAGACCGTGAGATGTCCATATAAACAGCATCGCACATGACAGTTTATTAATGTTCCTCACGAAATGTGCAACATGGCCCTCATCCACTACAAAATTTTACAACTTCTTAAAGACATAGATGAATGCATAATTCCCCTTATGCGGAAAGCATATACCTTGCAAACTAAAATCGCTAAGTGCTAATGCAACGGCTGATCAGGCTCGAAATTAATCGGGAATTGGGAAACTTTACAAACTTGAATATAAAATTTCCTCGGGTATAAAATGTGAAAGCAATGTGATTTGGTTTTCTACCAAACGAGAAAAGGAATGAGTATTTGCATGCATGTCTGCTATAAAATATATTTGGGTTTATAGGGCCATCGAAAATCAATGTAAAAGATATATGCTACTCAAGTAGTCATTTTCTACCCAGTGTCGTTTCTGCGGGAGGTCGGAAAGAGGAGCATTCAAAAGCCGACAACTTGCTGAGTCTTAAGTATTATAAGATTATGCCACAAGATGATTAATATTACAATGCCACGTTATTACTCCTTCCAAATCGAAACCGCAATGCAGAATTTCGGCCAAAATTTCATGAGATCGGTCACGCACTGTCAGTGACTGGCATCTCGAATACAACCTTCGATATCCTTCTGCGGAAATTCTTGTTACCCATGTTACGCAGATGAACGACTAATGTGTTAAGTATAGTACGCGATAGGGGATTCGCGTAGCAACACTATCGAAAATGCGCCTAGTGGATGCAAGTAATGTGATAACAACACGTTACTAACACAATTGTAGTAGAACTAACTGATACATTTTGTAACATTACATCAATTTTTGCTTCCAGCCCTCCGATTGATAAAGATAAACTCCTAATTAGTTTATCGAGAACACCAGCCTAGCTTTGCAAAGAAACTGAATATGCTGACTACCGTAGCTGCCAGGACTTCAGTGAATGACCGGCATTCACACCGAAGGCTGTGTGCTTACTGGCATGTGTAGTGATAAAATGTAGGGAAGTTAGGAAGAAGACGAAGACGTACCGCCTCCTTCGCATAATAAAGCATGTCGGTTAGGACCACACGACCCTCGGCGTCCGTGTTTACGACTCGTACACGGCGACCAGCAAGGCTGGTGAGGATTTCGTCCGGAATGTATGCGTCTGCGCCTGGACTGTTACGAACGAATGCCATGAAGCCCATCACCTTGAGGGAATTAGGCTTCAGTATGCTGAGGGTCTTGAAGAAGCCAGCCACCGCCGCAGCTCCGCACTTGTCACGGTGCATACCCTGCATGTAGTTTTGGATCTTTATGTTGGCGCCTCCGGTGTCAAAGGTGATGCCTTTGCCGGTTAGGAGGAGAGTTTCTTGGGGGGCGCCCGCACCCCGGTACTCCATTGTGACTATGCGACCATCATGTCGCGCAACACCTGCAGAATGGGAACAGTTAAAGAGGTTTTCACCCGTTCTTATCAAAGTGTGTGTGTGTGCGTTTGCACTGGATATTATGGAAAGCAGACCAGAATTTATTTGCTGAGGGTACATCGATTAGATTCAATCAGTCCATCTGAACCGAGGTCACAGACAGATTTCGATTTTGAGATGTCTTGCACCTGAATAATGATAATGACGTCCTCGAGGTGGGATCATCCGCCTAAACCCCGCGGTTGGCAAAAACTTAACAACAACAGTGGCGAAGTATTGTTGCCCCTCTACAAACAACAGCGCGATTCTGGAAAACGAGGACTTGTCACTCGCACTGGAGAGGGAACACTGAAGTTTTATAATCGAATTGATGAATTAAAGGCGATTGAAACTTTTTGATCTGTGTTGTTGATTTGGCGGTTTTTCGTAAAATAATTTATTTCATAGTCAATAAATAATAATATACAAAGCCGACTACTTCGTCTTTCGAAGCTTGGTCGTTTCTTTAGCACAGTATAGCTTTCGTGGATGAGGAGCGGGCAGTTCGTACGTAAAAAATATTGTAGTTTGCAGTCTGTGACCTCTCATTAGACAGATCACGAAATGTTACGAGCAAAACTGAGGCAGAATTGTACGGAATCCTTCTTTTCTTATGCAGCAATAAGGATGAACGAGGAGCAGGGTCGACTATAAGCTGACATGGCACATGGCTGACAGTCACATGGCCGACAGTCACAAATAAGATCTCAGATCTGGGTAGGATCCCTGTTGGTAGCCCTCCCAGCTAATTGCCCTACACGTTGCTTACTACAACATTCGCGTCTAGCACACAACTAATGCTTCAGTTTCTAACATACATGTGACCTTAGTGACAATAAATTATTATTTTCGGAAAATCAGGAACGCTCAACCCAATCTGGAGCTAGGATGCATTAATTCCGCAGACCGTACTCAGTATCCACGTTCGTTTTTATATCTTTCTTTCATTTTTCGCCATAGTTAATTTTGGCTACGACTTTAGTAGGGGCATCAAATCGGGGCATACACTATAAACGTCATTGACGCCTGCCCGCAAGTGCCCCACCCGTATATCCCCCATTACCGCCGGAGGACAGTTTCTTGTGGGTCTCCTGCACCCTGGTACTCCATTGTGACTATGCGACCATCATGTCGCTCAACTCCTGCAGAATTCAAACAAAATAGACGAGTTCAAATCCATTCTTTCGGAGAACTTTGGGAATTTTTTAAGTCAGAAAAGCTGTAGAGCAGGGCCTCGCATAAATAACCGAAGTTATTAGAGCATTATGCTGGTAACAGGAATGCTGGGGCCACAGTCGGCATGATGCTGAAGGATCTCAGATCCGTTCAAGACTTCCTTCCCATCAAATTTTCGTGCTTGTTCCCAACACGGCCATCTGGAGGTACAGTAGGTGGGCTAACTCATGAAATGTCAACCGAAATTCCGAGATGCGCTTTCGTTTCGAAATGACTAATAAAGTAGGATTTCAAAACTAATCATTATGCAGCATAATTATATATTACTTCAGCTACCACAGCCTGCCGGCTTTTGAATGAATTTCCTTTCGGCTGCATGCAACAAGTGACTACTAAGTAGCATGTATTTTTCTCATTGGCTTTCGATAGCCTAAATATTCTATTATATTTCATGGAATACATGCATAAAAATATTCTTTTTCTTGCTCATTCGGTAGAAAATAACGTTGTTTTCCAATTTTATACTCGAAGGAAGGGTATAATTTGGGTTTCAAAAACTTTTCCAATTCCCAAATAATTTTAACCCCCCCCCTACCGTTACACTGGCATTCAGTTATTCCAAACCACAAGCCGCATATTTTCCCCGTACGGAAAACTATGCATTTCTCTATGGTATAAAGAGGAGACTATATGGATTTCATAAAAGTTGGTAGTGGATTTGAGCCATATTGTTAAGTTTACAAGCCACATTGGTAAAGGCATAGACATGGCGATTTATAAACGACCACTTACGGAATTTAAAAATCTCACACTTGGAAAGTTTTTTAAAACCGAATTATATCCTCACTCCGAGTAAAACATTAGAAGAAGACGTAATCGTCTACCGAACGAGTAAAAGAATGAATATTTTATGCGTGCATTCCACGAAATATAATTGAATATTTAAGGGTATCGAAAACCAATGAGAAAAATAAATGCCACTTAAGTAGTCACTTGTTGCATGCAGCCGAAAGGAAATACATTCGAAAGCCGGCATCAGGAGGTAACTGAATGATTATCGAATTATACTTCAGGCTGATTAGTTTTACAACCCTACTTAATAAATCTCTTCGAAACGAAAACGCATTTCGGAATTTCGGTTGACATTTTACGAGTTAGCCCACCTACTGTAAGCGAACGGATCGGACCTGGCGGGACCATTAAATCGGCAGCAGCTCCTGCACGCTTGAAACAACACAGAACAAATTATTTTTATCAAGGCTCTCCTGAATGGTGAATTGGAAATTTCCTTGTTGTTGTTGTTGTTGTGACTGCTACATGATGAGATAGGAGGATCATAGGACGACAGTACAATCACCGTCTATTCAGCAGACAGTCAGTCAATGCTACCAGCGTTCACACTCTCCGTTCTCGGCCCAGAAAGCAGTCTATCAGCGAAATGTCCAGGATTGGTGCAGTTCTATGCCATGTCGGATTCGCAACAATGCGATGTTAGCAGATAGTATTGTGATAACAGCATCATTCCTAACATGCAGCTTTGTGATCAGCAGCTCTTCAGTCAGTAGACCCAAATTTGCGTCATTAATAGTCTCTGTCCTGACATAATCCTCCCGCTTATTGTTCTGCATGTGGCATCCGACCTATTTCATCAAATGTTGACCAGCAGTCTGAAGTGTGTATTCCACTACAAAGGACCACGTAGGCGGGGTTGTAGTATTGACTACCGTGTGGCATTATCACAAGGTATTTCAGTCACACCAGAATGCTGGTGTTTGAATGAACTTTATTTCAACCACCTGCGAAAATTACACTCGCTGGAAAACGACTAGGCAGGAAACATGCAATTTTTCTTTCATTTTCGACACCGTTCTAAATTAAATTATATTTAACTAAAAAAATCCACAACACTGCTCCTTCTTGTCGCTAGTTTGTAGCATATTACGCCGTGACCGAACCTCATATTTGAAGAAAACGTAACTTTTAGTCTAAAGAAATTGACATTAAGAAACATTTAAGACAGTGAAACGTCCACCCACACAGTATTATGTCTACACATTTATTTATGCTCTTTATGAATTGTATAACATGGTCTAGATTTATTGTATAATTTTATTAGACCTATTTGACATTTTGGTAAGATGCGGTTTGGTAGCCCCAGCTGATGGACACAATACTGTTAGGACTATGGTTACTGTTAGAAGTTAGGAGTTACGGCTAGGGGTTAGGAGTGAAAATTAGAATTCAGGGTTAGGGATCAGGATTAAGGATTGGGGGTTAGGATTAGGAGTTAGCGCAACTATTTCTCACCCATTCACAGTACGACCGCGCATTCCCAATAGCTTTTCTTTTGCATACAACTACTTGACCTCGTCAACTGTGCGTTCCCCGCCCCAACCTGTTAAAACTCTATAATCGCCGGTCCCGTATTAGAGGTGGCTGGGGTTTGCTTACTTCAGATGGGGCTACCCAACCATATCCGACCGACATTTTTGAAAGGCTCAGTGAAATGTATGCTCTTCGCTAAGCACAAAGTAAACTGTACGTAGTTTGGAAACTCTCGGCGTCAGTGCAACTGCAGATTGGGTTCAAAATTATTCGGAAATTGAAAAAAATGTAAACCGGAAGATACTTCTTCCACTACAACATCTAAAGGAGACGTAGTTAACTACCATATGACACAAAAGACCATGTTTTTGCATGTTTCTTTAGAAATGAATTTGAAATTAAAGCGACATCAAAGATAAATGGAAAAAATGTACAATAATTCAGTAGTAACTTTTTGCCAAGCACGGCTTACGCGGACGGCCGGAAAAAGAACATTCAAGAGTCAGCACCCTGCCGTGACTGAAATATCCTCGGATTTTACTGCATATTAGTTAATATTGCAACCCTGCCCACATACTTTCGGCTACACGAGGACAGATTTCGGAATTTCGGTTAATGTTTCTTGAGATAGGCCAGATTCTATACATCAGACATCAGAGGCAAACAAGTAATTTTAGTGGTCAGGAATGAAAGGCATGCACCGGTATTTCGGTTTTTTGGTGCCGGGGGTCTGCAATCCAATCGGACAGTTGAAGGCTTAGTGAATGTTATTGGTTACGAGTCCGTGTGTCAGTCTTAAATTACTGTCAGTTAATGTATGCAACGTATTTACATACCGAGGTGAGAGGATACTACAAAATAATTTATACAACACGATGACAGCGACACAAAGCCGATAAGCATATTGAGTCAATCAACGTGCATCTACTCCGGTGGAGCAGGTTATATTGGTCGTAAATGTCGGCTCCTTTCCAAAAGAATACGAGAGCACCTTCCCGCATGGCCGGCATAAGGTGAAACTAGGAGAATAGACAGCATCCTCCTTGAGCATGTAGTGGATTCAGGACATCGTGGGGACTCCGCAGAAGCATTTCATGTGATTTATAAGGTGCCCTCGAGCTACCCTAAGCTACTGGGCCAGCGCCTGTTAGCAACAGCAGAAGCGGCCGCCATCAGGTTACGAAAACCGACCCCATGCACCCAGAAGAACCTCGTTCAGGCTCCGCGCTTACCGTGATCAAAGGGTGACTATCCACATAGGACTTTCGGCGCCCTTCCGCTCTTGCCTAGCCTGTATTGTAAAAACTAACTTTTGTCGATTTTTTTTTCAGTCACTGTACCCCGTCCCATATAACTGTAGTGGCCTGGCGAGAGTTTATCAATCCAAATTGTGGATTTAAGGCCAAGGACAGATTTCGAGATCATGCGGTGAC